AGAAATAAAAGTTCTAAAACTGCTCCCAAATTCAAAAACCAATTGAAAAATTATTTGATAAATCAAATTAAAAATACAGGATTTTATATAGCCTGAGTCATCCAAATATGTTTATATTAATTATGGAAAATTTAACATTTGACTGTTTGGCCATATTGATTATCCAATTATTTATATTTTTTTAAATTTTGATTTTCAATACCTATTAACAAATTTATTGTTCACTACTTACATAAATTACTTGTGTTTTCTTGTGTGATATTCCATTATTTTTTAAAAATTTGTTAGTTAATTCAGTTAATACCTATTTATAAACATCTAATGTTTCTTGGGATAATAAAGACAGTAATTTTTAATAGGTATTTGATAGACGTGACCTCATTGACGAAATTATTTTAACAAGAAAATTTGATGTATTCGAACAAATTGAAATAATTTCACGCCAAACTAGCTTACATTTTATTATAACAGTATCATTCAACTCAAACCAATCAAAACCATCGAACAGAAATATTCCAAAAATATGATGGAACAACTTCTTCTCGTGTACCATTTTATGACTGTAACTCTTCACTCATTCAGAAGAGGAGCTCATCAAAAAATCTATGAATTTAGTACATTCATGCTGGAGACTAGCAAAAATCTCTCATGACATTTCAACCAAACATTTCCACTGATGATACGGTAGTTGATCCTTCAGAAAACAAGAAAATAGAATGTCTTCCAATGCAAGAAACATACCTCTAATTCAGAGACAAATTCAGAAAGAGCAAGGTATATCAGGTACAAACTTGTAACTTTGTGACTTTCATAGAAATGTTGTAAAAGTAAATGAAATGGAGTTTAACTCACAACTTTCCCATAAGTAATTCTTCTAGGGAAATTGATGTCAATAATGAAATAGCATCATTAGTACTAAATTAGAGTAATTTATGTAAATCCATTGTTCCACTGGCAATCGCAGTAACAGCAATTGCACTGACAAAAGATTAATAAAGTCATGAAGCAAGTTTTCCACACTTCTGATTAAAATAATTTCATCAGAAAGTTCACCTTACCTTGGTTGAAAAAATATGTGTCACTCAAATTTGTTTTCGGAAAAATTTTCAACACAGAATGAAGGCCATTATTTCTGTCATTCATCAAAAGTGCTACCCCCACCTCCGATTCAAATTTTCTCTTTAACAAGAAACATAATTCAGGCCTTCATCGTTTTTGTTGTAGCTTGTGGTTTGCAGAAGTGATTGTTTTCAGTGTGAAAATTAGTCACGTGGTCAGTAAAAATACGTTTGGAGTTATGACAATGTATAGAATAGTTCTAGAATTTGAGATAAAAACGAGAGCGTAGGTTTTTCCCTTGCTTGTAGATCAAGATCCGCACACTGACCTTTTGCTCAATGAAATTTTGTCTGAACCTTTCGCTGCTGAGGACAGTGTTAAAACATAGAACAATTCGTGGGAAAATATAATTGTTATTTTGATTTAACGGTATTCAGATGACAATTGAAAAGTTAATGTTGACAGCCTCCGTCCGTTAAGATTTTTTAATGCCCGGCGGCGTTTCAAAATTTTCATATTCTTTTTGATATCGCTCTTAAAATATTTTCGATAGTTAATCAACACTCGCTGCATGATTCTTCCATTAGGTATTTGATTTTGTTCCTCAATTTCTTCAAATTTCATTTATGGTCGTTGTTAAATTGAACTCGCGAACACAAAAAACTGACAATGTTTATCATATTGTTGTGATATTGTTAAGCTATTGCATGACAAGACAATGTTGGGATTTTTCTAATTACGAAGCACGTGGTTTGTTCTTTCCTCGGAATCAAAATATAATCTTTCAGCGGGATTACGAAAAGTCTTGAAGGACACACGGCCGATATGCAAATAACGGATTCAGTTGTAATTATCCTTGACCCGTGTTTCGATCACCAAGTGATCATCTTCAAGAGGAAGAGTACACTTCCTTTACTTGGTGATCGAAACACGTGTCGAGGTGTTGGGAGAAAACTCCAATGATATTCATTACTACACCAAAGATTCCAAACAATGCATCCCAAGTTACAATATTGAACCTCATCCGTTATTTGCTACATATCTACCTTGTAACGTTAATTCAGAAATAGGCAGATGATGAAAAATAGAATCCTCAATGTTTGACATCAAAAATGTGGTTATGAGTTGTTTGGATGTAATTTATTTTAAACTGTGGTTATGAGTTGTTTGGATGTAATTTATTTTAAACTGACCTGTTTTTTGCAAAAATGATTGTGATGAAAAGAGACAACACCAAAAACTAAGTATCTATTAGAAATTATGCTTTTTGCTGGCACATGCTCATACATTTTTTGAGACCAGCATTATTTGCTTCGGCATCACATTAGGCTATTTTCATTGTCCATACTGAAAGTAATAGGTAGATTTATGCCCCATGTGTCCATCAAAAGAGTTAAAATTTCCTTAGATTATCAAGTCAAAAAATTGTGAGGGGATTTTATAGTTTTTCTCGAAGTCTTACCATTAATGTTTTCATTTGTCGGTGCCTCAGACTCATGTAGTCAGTAGATGAATCGAATTCAAATGAACAGATGAGTTTGAAGTAGAGTTTATTCTGCCAATTTTACTAATAATTCCTGTATCTTTTTCCATGTTCCATTTTCTTTACATAAATACAGGATGAAGAATTGAAACTCAACACTATGTTATAAATATTCATTTTAATGTCAATAATAAATTAATCATTAATATATCAAATGTATATATACCAAAAATTATCACTTATTAAATTGATTAGTAAAAAATACAGAGAAATATTAACGAGTCACAGCGTACAAATATTTCCAGTACTTTTTCTAAATATTTCTTTCTCTCCGAATCTCGTAATGGTAACTATTGTCATACATGCATGGTTTTTATGGTACAGGACTAGGTCACATGATGAAGTTAAGCACGATATTTTTTACAGCAAAATTGGGAGATACAGCAACTTTCTTTACAATAATCCATATGAGATAGAATAAAAATGATGGATCAATTATAAAAAATAACTTTGAAACAAAACGAAAAAGGAAAAAAGATTTCCATTGTTGGTAGATGCCTTTGGTAGATATTTGATGGTTATACAAATATCTAACTATGTAACTCTGATATCTTCTGAACTAGAGAATGAGATACAAAGTCATTTCGCTTTCATTTTCTTTTTTTATTTCTATTCCTTCTCAGACTTTTGTTCAAAAGACTTTTAAGAAGGGTGTTCTACCTTATCACCAGTTGAATTTATTTCCAAAAAATAAAAGACAAATAAGCCATGATAAAGAAACAAAAAAAGAAATGGTAGATTTTAATACTTTCTGCCATTCTTCGCGCCGATTCTACCAGAACTTTTTCGGCATTTGAAAAGTTTTTAAAATATATTAGACTTGGTAGAATCATCCAAAAGTCAAAGGTAGAGGTGAGAAAAAAAGCAAATAAGAAATCAATCATTTCCCTTGAAGTTAGAGGTGACAGAATGAAGTCTTCAAAAAATGTTTGGTATAAGATTTTATAACTTATTCATTGATGTTGAGAATGCAGTAGCATGGCTTATCAGAGTCCGGTTTTCAAATGAAATGTCATATATTGCTTCTCGAAAGTTGAACAGACCTTTTTTTGAGTATTTACATTCATAATTTGACCAAAATAATTTTTTTCTAGTATTGGGCAAATCAAAACTTGAAAACATTTTTTTCTTGATTTTTGCATTTTTCCACTCCTAAACTCTCCCAGGTAGCAAAAAAATATCAAATGTTCACTGAATATTCAAAGAATATATTTTTGAACATTAACCTATCTGAATATTTTTAATATTATTCAAATAAGAGTTTTGAATCAGTTTTTAGGATATTTGAATCGGTTTTAGTGTGTATGTTCATAAATTTAAATATTTAAACATAAAACTGGAACCTCTGGCATAAAATAAATCCATATCAACCACTTTTTCCATACAACAGAACTGCAACACTGTTCACGACGCGCGTTTCACTAACCAAGGTAACGTCTTCAGGAGGTAAAAAAAAAACAATTCTCTAACTCTAAAAATGGTCTCTATTCTGATCTACTCAATGGGGAAGTGACAAGCCTACGGACTCTATAGTTCTTTCTGTAGGCATCAAATTATAGACTCTGGTAACGTCTAACCACCAAGTCTTCCAAGAATGGTGACTCCTCATTGTTTTATTTTTATATGTAAACTCAACATTCGGGGATCTGTTGTTGAGAGCTGAAACAAAGTCCTCCACTTATAATTTCTTTATGCAAAAAAATCGTAAAAATATCATCTACCTATCGGATCCAAGTCTGGAAATAACAAAGTGTGGCATGAAAACTATGAAAAGTGACAAAGGTTCCATTCCAAAAATCCTATTGTTCACTTTTTTATGAATTTATCTGTTGAAATTAGCGGAAACTTCCACGAGAAATTTTTCCCCAATTTTCTACACAAAATCAGTGATGTGTGTCAGAAAGTGAAAGTGAAACCTGTTAGATTAAATTATAAACCATTTTCAAATTGGTTTTTTTCATTTCCTAAACGCACTAACTTGGTTGATGAAACGAGCGTCAAGGACAATATTGCAGTTCAAGTATTTGGAAAGAGTGCTTGGTTTTGAAAAAATATATAGTGTATATATCCAAAAAATATATTAAATGTGTATTTTGAAGATACCTATTTCATATTAATATAATATATTCAAAAAAGGTTATAACTGGACCGTTATCTTCCCAACTGATGTCAGAAAGCACAGAGATGCACAAGCGACAATTATCCTTCGCTCTCTTTGTGAAATATTTTAGAAAACCAATGACTTGCATTTATAGGCAAATAAAAATAAAGTTTCTGCAAATATGACAGAGATTTCTCCACATTGCAATGACCATCACTAAATCGATTCCTAAAGAAAACAACTCTATAACAAAACCTCTATTTACACTCATACATAAATATCTATCTCGCTCTATATACAATTCCATACTTTCTCTGGCACAATGACAAGCCTATAAAATCACAATTAGATACAACCAAAATTAAAAAAAAAAACAGATCTACGTAGGCCAACCATTCCAGGACTACTGGATGCAGGCTTGGAGTTTTTGTGTGGGTAGTAGATGTTTATATTAGAAATCATTTATGTCCAATATTCAATTGATATTGAAGACAATAGCTCAATCATCGCTAAAAGCTTCCTTTATGGTTCGACAAAAATCACATCACAAACTAAACGCTGAATGATACCAAACTATATTGTAGCATAATCACTCCTTCCAAGTTGATACAATTTCTTTTTTCAAATACTACAAAAGAGACTTCTTCAGTAATGGAATATTTTCATAATATTGATCAAATGTAAACTATCTTTGGGTCAATCTCATTTCCCACGCCGAGGCTTTTTGACATAACAAAAGCGAATCAGTAGAAATACCACAGTTTCTATTCATCTTGATTCTTTGAGCATAGTCTCACTTTATCATCTATCAACTCAGTATCTATTATCAACTATTATAAAACCAACTAACTAAGTTAGTTGGTTTTATACTCGATAAAGGGATAAAACCCGACACCGGTCAAAAAATAAAAAAAACAGTGTTTGTTCATTTTTCAAAGTGATCATGAATTTCCACAAAATGAACACATAGTATGAATACATAGTATAAATAAAACTATCCTATTTGTATATTTTTATGCAAAAATAACAGGTGAGATGATTCATCTTTCTATTTAATCGTTAATTTCCTGCTTCTGTAACCTCTGGTCACTTGAATGCAAACCTTGTTGGTAAACATTTTTTTTTTCATAACAGTGGTAGATCTAAAATGAAAGTGATGAAAACAACAACACTGACTTAGCGAGAAACAAACCAGACCAGACCAATTGGCGGTTACATACACGTGATGCTTTTCAAATTGTTGTGCGAAGTTATGTCTCTATTTCTCTGTGCAAGTGAATAAGCTTTGCTGTATTCAGAAGACTATTGACATTTGCAGTTGAAATACATAATATCACATGATTTTGCTACTTACTAAAACTATCAACCGATCTGGCGAAAATTTGAAAACTCCATCGCCCGAATCCTAACCCTAAAATGAAAGACCCTTACACTTTTTCACAGCTGACACAATCGCTGCGGTATCACGCTAGTCCCGAGTCGACATGAGTCCTACGTTTCGAATCGGACCGCTGTACGCCGTGATCAGGAGTCGACTTCAGAATATCCGGCTGGCTCTGATTGGTCATCGACTGATTGACGACAGACTGGTTAACGGACACCATCGTCCCTCTACTGAGCGTTCCTAGAAGCGGCGTACCGGGGTTGTTCAGCAGGAGGTTCATGTAGTCTGCAATCAACAGGGTGAGTTCGAGGATTTTGGGTTTGCTCAGCGAGAAGATCAGCTTTTGCGAGGGTTGTTGATCGTTTTGGGTGACGACGAGCATGAAGTCTTCTTGGCAGCCACCGAAAGTTAAAACGTTGGTGTAGGCGTAGCGCATCCGTTGTTGCATGGTGGCCAGATCTAGAACTGTTATGGCGTCTTCGTTGACTGCCAACCATATCATGGGGGAATCTTGCTGTCTGAGCTTAGCCTGGAATATAAACATTTGTTTTGAACACTGTTACGTTTCACGTCACAAGCTCATCAAATGTAACGTGGTGGTACGAAGGATGTGTGGAGTTGAAAAATTGAAATTTATTTTATTATAGCATATGTGGTATCATACAAAAGCTTCAAAGAGCATAATGATTTCCGTCAATAATTTCTTCGATTTCGCCAATCGAAAGTGAAAAAAAGACATGGAAAATTGAACTTTTCAAAATTTTTGAGTTTGAGGAACCGTTGTAAACTTCCTAATGACTCTGGGTTGACTGACAGCATCTGCACATGAACTTTAGACCCATCAATCACTTTCCCGAAGTGAGTACAGAGAAAAGGTAACGAACCAAGAATAACAACTGTCTGCATTCATTATGTGAAATTTCATATCGTAACTTATATTATATTGTAGCTTTCCTATGAATGATATCTGATTCATTTCCATAACGCATGTTTGGAGTACATACTGAATCGGAAAAAGTGCTTTTAGTATGATTCACTATTCATATGACAGAAGTTGTTTTGAAAATACTTGTTTTGTATGTAATTCAATGTTCATATGAAAGTAGTTGCTTCGGAAAGGGTTTTTTTTTCAGTTTGTATCTGAAAGTAACGTCTATGCATGATCTACACATCTTTGTAGAAAGATTGTTTTGAAATTACTTGCTTTCTTCCTTTCTTTGGAAGTTTGTCACATTTAGATGGACAATTGGAACCAAAACTTTTCTTTTCCAAAATACTTGCATAAACTTCATCTCAGTGTTCAAATAAAAGCTGAGTAATCCCATCCAGAAAATTAAAATGACAAACTTTTCTGCAAAATACTCATATGAAGATTTGTTCAAGCGTTTTTGTTTTTTTTCAAAGGTGCATTCAAATCCTACCATTTTTCGTATTATCAAAATTTGTAAATTTCAACAATAACTAATACTTGGAAGCAAGAAACGAATTATCATGAGTTTTCTTGAATTTACGGAGCGTGAGCATTTTGTTTTTTCATATTTCAATGGTTTTTTTCAATTGTTTTGAAAAATAATAAATAATTTATTTCAAACTCGGACTCGCCTTGAACGCAAAATCTAATTTATAAAGTTTTTCTTCTTTTTCCCAACACAAACATACTTATTCTTGACGCGTTTCGCGAGATAACTAAAAATTATGAAATAAGAGTGAAAATGCTAACATGAACTGAAGTTTTTTCTTGCATTTGTTTTTTCTTCAATTTTATTGAATGGGATTTCCTCGTTATAATCAAAATTGAATATCGGCGTTATACTCTATTCATAAAATTTTTTTTCAACAAAAATTGTTGAAAAAATTCCTTATTGTTTTCTTGATGAAGAGGATATAAATGCCAAAAGTGAATTTTTGCGATTTTTTATTTCATACAATGACGCCATACATTAAAAAAAAACATTAAGAAACGACTGATATTTTGAAAGTTTTCACACTATTTCAATGTTTCAAAAATCAACAGTTTTCATTATTTGAAGTCTTAGGATTAGATTAATAAATTTGATGATGAGTTTTTACGATTGTTTCCTGTATTTTGGAACACCATGGATGGATAGTAACCAGTTACTAGTTAGTGTGAGTTTTGTTTTACTCATTGAATCGAACGCTATGTGAATGGTGGTTCGATACTGATGGCTGGGCAATCGATTTTCACTGCTTATCATTTCTCGTTCATAAATGAGTGACAGTTAGTTGACGGATAAACAGATTTCAAATCGATTTGTTGAACTTGAGTGAAAATTTGTAAAATGGTTTGGTTTACAAACTTTCAACTTTTTATTATATTTTTCATGTCATGAAATGAAAATAAAAATGTTTTGACTTTCTACTTTTCCATTATCAAATGAAAACTCTCTCCAAAAATATTCCTTTTTCAATTGAAATGAGAATAAAATTCTTCATAGAGTTTCTTCTTTTCATAATCGTATCTGTCATTTCTTATTCAGTATTAGCCATAGTCAATATCTTACCTGGAACAAGCTAGCTCCAAAATACGGCCACTTCCTCGTAGAATTCAAATACGCCCTGACGCAATCCGACTGCGCCTTGCCCTTCAGAGCCCTCCACTTAGCCATCAGTTTCGCCTGAAGTTCCGCCAATCCCTCCTGATTCAACTGATCCCTATACCTATAGGGATAGAACTTGTCGATAGCGTTCAACGCCTGATTCGAATGTGCAGTCAGAATGCCATGAACGTTGTTCAAAGCGTTGAGAGTACTCGAGTTTTGCAAGGAAGACGGTGGACTGAGCGTACCGTTTGCAGTTGATTTCGGACTACGGTGTAGGTTGGAAATCCCCTCCTTGCTGAGGGAATTGTTGGTGCTCTTGTTGGAGATCAGAGAGCAGTCTCCCATGTCTAGCTGAGCCATGAGGGAAGCAAACTCCAGCGCAGCTTCCCTGGTCACCGGGAACCTTCCGCTGACGATCTGCTTGTTCACTTGGTAGCACAGTAGCAACCTCTCCTTCTCAGTCTCCAACTTGGCGCAGTTCTTCCACCACAGCCTGTTTTTGTAAGTCAGTCTTATAACTTTGCTGTTCTCGAATTTCCCCATCCCCTTCTCTCTGAGGGCGATCTCCCATTTAGAGATCAGGTCGCACAGCTTCGCGTTCGGATCCAGAGTGTGTTCGAGGTCCTTCTCGATGGGGTCGTCACTAAAGATTGCGAAGCCGTTGTTGGTACGGCAGCCGATTTCGTGGGCGAGGGAGTCCTGGAATTCCTTGATGGACGTTGAGCCGTCGAAGCTAGTGATATGGTAGGTTCCGTTAAGAAGGTGGACGGGCATCGAATGTGGCAGTGCGTGGTGCTGTGGGTTTTTCAAGAGGATGCTGAGGACTTCCATGCGGGACGGTTTCAGTTCTCGACCACCTGGAAAAAATATACTTTCAGTTCCAATAGTCATTGGAAAAAATTCATCTAGGAGAAAAAACTTGAAGTCTCGTTTTGCAAGTTAGCGAACAAATAATCTCAGTTTTAGACTTGTATGGTGTTTTTATCTTCCTGATTTTTGTAAAATCACTAGAACTCTGACTAAATCCAAAATAGGCTAGAATTTCGTAGGTGCAGATGTATACAATCGCAGATCCGAGACAGATATATCAACCTGCCAACGTCACACCAATTCAATAAATATGCTCAAGTAGAAAAGTATTTCTGGAAGTTTTTGACTGTCACCAAACAATGTTCAAGTTAGTAGTGAACTGCCAAAAAAGAATCTCCGCAATAGTGAGGTTTAATAAATTATATCTGGTCTGGATTCGTGACAACAGTAGAAAGCGATGAAACTGCTGGATACCTGTAAATTTAGATTTCTGGCAAAATCTATCAATATTGAGCCATTCCAAGGCATTTATATATCTTTAAACATATTTCACTAAATGCAATATGGACTGTCAGAGGACAGTACGTGCCTTCTCTGTCTGGAAGATGATGATGAACTAGTACATACTGCCGTATAAGGAATCTGTTTTCACTATCTCCATCTCATTTCAACTCTCATTCACCATATAAATTGATCAACTTTGTTAAGAACCCATGATAAACCTTCGCAGGTTTTAGAGAGGGTCACTCACTCATTTACACTGAACCTGACTCAACCTAACTGCAATATTCGTCGTTAAAAACTTATTTAGGATCAGAAAGAAGGTTTAGTGCCTTTTTTATTCTACTACTTGAGAGCAGTCTGACTTATCAGTTTCTACCAAGTCTCCGGAAAACACTGCAGCCCTGCTTTGTTGAAGCAATTCTTTGGTATTATTTCCGGACGGTCCCTTCCCGTGTGTATTTCCTGTTATTTTTTCCCAGTGCTTTCTTTATTTCTTATAGACCAACTTTCCGATCTAGTTTCGTACCAGAGACTTTGGTACCCACACAGCTGATTCATATGGAAATGATAATTCGTGTCTGGCACACTCATCAGTTCTTTCGTTGCCTGCAATGTCATGTTCTATACCTAATATATAGTAATATAGTCAATCTATTTCTGTCTGCCGGTTTCCTCAGTTCCCATGCGGTCTATCCACCTGTAGCTTGTGTCGTCGATCCCTCTTCTTCTTGACGCTTGGATGATTTGATTCTAAGGAAGTATCATCAAATGCAACCATCTTTGTCTAAAAAGTAGCTAAAAGTAGTTCCTTGTTCTTGTAAGCATATTCTGCTTTTTCAGTGACGCGGCAAAAAGAAATTTCTGTCGACATACCTGATCCGTAGGCATATTGGTGTCGATGCAGTTGTCTGTTTGTTTTTATTTGTCGAAAGTGTCGGCGCTAAATTTGTATTTTATTAATGTTTTGTAACGTATATTACAGTTTCAAGAAACACTTTATTGTTAGATTGTCACTACATAGTTTTACAAAAACGCAACACGTGTTTAAATAAACAATAGCTTCTTCAGGCCTTCAGAGAGGTGCCCTTCCTTGGCTGCATGGTGTTAATTGCACCCACCAGCCGGATACTCTTTCGTGATTCGCACAGGTATTCTGTAGCCATTCAGGCCGGAATATGCAGCTTAGGAATAATGGCATTATGAAGACATTTCAGCTGAATGGGGTGTGGTTTAAAACTAACCACAACTTTGGTTAGGGGTACCAAAAATACTTAACTGGTGCTATCATATTCATGAACGAGTGGTGGTATTTAGAACATGATTTCCTGAAAATCGGTGAATGAAACGTCAACCAAGTCACCGGAAAATATTGTGCGCTTGTCAAATGCCAAAACGTCGATGCTGTTAGAACAAATATAATGAGAGAAAATAAACAAACGTTGAACTAGAGCAAATAGTAGAGTGATTCTAATCTTTGCCTATATAATATATTCTGAAATATTCCAACTCTGCTACAGTATAGAAATCGGCAACTTCAATGAAGTTCTTTATTTAAGGTATCGAACTTGAATAGGAAGATTTTTAGTTTTTTTCAATAACGTTCTGTTTATTGGATGTTGAAATAACTTTTGGAAAAAATTCAGTACCTATAATATTCAATTCATTTTTCAATGGACAGAAATAATAAATATATACTTGTTTTTGAACTTAAGAACAAAATGTGTTCCAAAAATAACCACTCATTCATGGTTTTTCTGGTAACCGCTGTTAAAATATCTGGTTTGTATCGGTTAGCAGTTCATTCTTAGTCAATATCAAGGTAGTCGGATATTCTACGTTATACAAAGTTTTTTGCCTCTAATTTGGATAAATAGTCGTTTGCTGACCTGCTCAGGGGAAGTTTGTTTTGTCTCTTGGTGGGGAGACTGCTTCTTCTGCTCAAGAATTTGGTGTGGGGCAGATCCATAAGATAAGATTTATTTGACTATGTTACATTGTACAGAATGTTCGTAGCAAGTCATAAAAAAGTAAGCAATGGATATAAAACATGATAATATGAAGATAATACTAGTAATAACAATTATAATAGAAAAGAAAAACATGTATAACTTGAACATATCGGGTGCTGGAGTGAGCATATGTTTTCAATTTGAGATATTTGAATGTATTCATTGACCATGTAAAAGCAGTGTCTCAGTAAGTTTTCCTTCAAATCTCTCTTGAATTTCACGGTACAAAGTTTTTTAAATCCTCAGGTAAAATATTATACAGACTGTAACCTAATATAATTATGAATATCCGAATGTTTTGTCAAACAATTCGATTTCTTGTAGATATCAAGAAGGACATGAAAGAGATGTAAGAATGCAAACAAAGGTTTGCAGTAACATAAGATATCCTGGAGAAGAAAACTGATTACTTTGCCTAGCCTCTTAGGTTCGTATGCTTCTACTTGAGCTTTTCACCAGAAATAAAATCAGTGCATTTACCTGCAAGTATCGTCCTCTCTAGCGCCCTTTCGCAATAGGCTGCATACTTCCCACACTCTGTTCGATTCTCTGCGTTCCTCTGCAAATGTAGCTTCAGAAACCACAAAATCATCGAATTCTTCGGAACGAAAAGACTAACGGCTAGAGCCAACAACTGCCATCCCTGCAGCAGCGTGAACAATGGCGGCCCCTTGTGGTCCTTGTGGTCTTTATAGCACTCCTTGTGCTCCTTGTACTTGTCCTCCTGCGACGCCTGTATATTGGACAACGCGATTTGTTGGTCAGATACCGTGCTATTTATACTGGGCGTTGCAGTTTCGCACGTAAAAAGGCTTTGCGTAGCGCAAAGGAGCAGTTGCTGAAAAGAGTATTGGTGTTTCTTGAAGGCTGTCTCGAGAACACCCTGTGTGATGTTCATGTACTAATTTTCGGATGCAAGGGATAAACGATCGAATGGTCACTAGGCAAAAATAGATTTAAAGAGAGTGTGCGTTGTGTGTGTATGTTTACGTGAGATGATCGGGGGAGATGAATCAGCAGATATTGCCGGAAATGTTAAAAGAACCTCTTGGTGCAAGATTGATGTAACTAAACAAAACCGAAAAATAGCGTTAGACTGTTCAACTAGCTGAAGTAAAATATTAGAGCCCTCAACTTCTTATTAACTTACAAAGGTTATTGTATTTCAAAGAAGTTTGTCAAATTTGTTCACTCATTGAATGATGAAGAAACGGTAATCAGTTATACTATTTTATGATATGAAAATTCCTCATTCTCTAGTGCAAAGGGGTAATAGAATGTATCAAGATAGTTTGCCTCCTGACTCACCATCTAAGACTGTTTGTAGAAAAGGGTTCAACACTTCACTGTATTACAGTAAATCTTGTATCAAGATATTTTGTCTCCTGACTTACCATCTAAGAATGTTTGTAGATAAGGGTTCAACAGTTCACTGTATTACAGTAAATGTTGACCTTGGTAGACAAATACAATCCATAAGAAACGTAAGCCAATATATTTTTCTAAAGGGTCATGAGATACTTTTTACCACATTGTTGGTGGTGACTGATATATTTTAAGTATCTATCTGTTAGAACAGAAATAAATTTCACTCAATTAGAGTTACTACAAAACAAGTTATCAGATCCGAGTTGAAAGGTATATTAAGTTCACCCAGAAATGAAGTTATTTCATGAGGTTACGCTATAAACTGAAAGTGAATATTAATTTTCCAAAAAAAAAAAAATCAGATCGATTTTCAAACTGAAACATATGATACACATAATAATCCCTAATTGAAAACAAAACTATATTACGACTTTTCCATTTTTCTCTAAATTGTTTTATCTTAAATAGATTTCGATTATAAAATACTCAAAAATAAATCAGCTATATAAGGGTCAGTAAACTAGTTCCAAATTATTAGCGGTTCTTATGAGGCTTTCACTAGCCTGAATGACAGAAAATGAATTAGGTAAGTCTAGCAGTCTAGTGCTAGTATTATTTTGATAACTGCACTTGTGCATTTGTAGTTTGAGAAGATGTTTGCTTAAATAACGTTAATGTTAGACTGTATCACTGCAGAAATAACTCTGTCTTATAGATATTATGTCTAGCATCATGTATAAGTGTACCTTGTCGACAATAATTAAGATGTGAAGAACAAGAAGTAATAATCAAATAAAACATACACAGGCACAATGGATGTCTCTATTCTAATGTTCTAGAAAACAATCATACTCTATATAAATAACAAAACGAGGAAAATGATGACGAAACACCAACATTCTTCATCACTGGTACAGGAGAAGAGAAACCAAAGCAAACTCGTATGGATGGCGGGGGTTAGTTAGTAAAATGAACATGCAATAACAGTATATTTGTTAGTGAACATTGAAAGCATTTAGTTTCATTCAAAATGAAGAAAAGTTAAGAATAAAATATTCGAGTTAGAATTCAATCGAAATTAATCTTCATTCTTTGAAGAGTGATAGAAACGTTGTGTGGATTTGATGTGAAAATATATTGTACTGAAAGCCTTTTTTCCAATTACTGTACAATTGTATTCTCAGTGAACTGGGGACAATTCTAGCAACAATTAGAAGTCCATAATGGAAAAAAAATCTGATAATCTTCTGTTGAGTGTTTTTGACTTCACACACAAGAAAGAATAATTAATTTTTTTCAAAATATAATTTTGATTTTCAACGTGTTTCAATAGTTTTCCAAAAACAGAAAAGAAAGCTTTGGAAACCAACCGAAAAGCTATGGTGAACTAGTTATCAAATCACTAACTAATCAGATAAAATTCCCAGTTTCCACAGTTTCCACATACTTCTTACTGTTTTTCGGTATAAAACTTTCCAAAATCTGAAAAATGAACAAACCTAAATCAATAAAGTGTGAAGTTCACCTCGACAATTTACTGCTTAATATAAATGACTGAAGAGTCCAATTAGTTAGTAACTTGTCATATTCATAAATTTTGCCTACAAATTGAAAAAATCAATTGAAAAATACTAGCTTAGCTTCCTTTATTGTTCTAATGTTTCAGAAAACAATTTTTTTTCGTTTTCAAAACCTGAAATTCACTATTCAGTTTTACATTCATTAAACTTCAGCAAATTCTCTATTGATTTAGCTTTGTTTATTTTTCAAATTGTGAAAGGTTATATACTAAAAAATCAGTAAGAAGTATTGAGTCCACAAAAAATGTATTTCAAAAAGTTTTCACATAATTTCAGAACTCTTGGCATAATTGTTATCAATCAGAAAAATAATTGATGTTCATATCAGAAACTGTTTATCATAATATCAAAGAGAACCTGGCAATAACAAAGGATCATCATTTTCAAATATCAAATGAAGTCATCTTATGTTATAGAGAGTAGGTTATTTTTCAATATATTCTCAACCAAATCCATTCATCAGGTTTCCAATTCAACAACACTGAACTAAAGAGGTGCAAGGCACAAGGCATTTTGAAAAACCAAACTAAACAAAAAGTAGATCTTTTTCAGCAGTGATCAGTTATTATTTTCAGTAGGTGAAAAATCGGATATAATACAAGGTGTTTTTATTTTATTTTTTAGCTTAAAGAAAAATCATGAAAAACAACAACACTGAACTGAAGAGGTGCAAGATGGCTTTTTGAAAAACCAAACTAAACAAAAAGTGGATCTTTTTCAGCAGTGATCAGTTTTAATTTTTAGTAAGTAAAAAATCGGATATAATACTAGGTGTTTTTATTTTATTTTTTTAGATTCAAGAAAAATCGTGAAAAACGATTATTTGCTATGAAATAAATCAGAGTGTACTGTTGACCGAAATAATATACTGAAGAGGCAAAAAGTAATGCAAGGAGAAATTTATTATTCTTTCCAATTATATAACGAACATGAGATAATTGCTATGATAATTGAAACTGTTTCATTCCCAACCATTGATGAGAATGAAAGCATTAAAATTTGAAAGATTTCTCATATCTGACAGGATATGATATGATTTAAAATGATCCACTAACTACATTACTTTTTGTTCTTAAGATAAATCAATTTTTATAAAAATTGTATCTGTTTCAAGTGTAATTATTATAGAATTATTTATTGTTTTGTTTACATTAATTTATATTTGTATATGTTTTGTATATTGGAAATTTCTATTCATATTTTCAATTTAAAATTTGTATAATGAATAGGTTTTATAATGTATTGCCGCTTCAGATACACGAGCCAATTTCGTTCTGTTAACCATCTTTGAGAAAAGTACCGAAGCCCAAAATTGTTTATGTCTTTCATATTCCGACTTGCTTTTAGATCCAAAAATACTTTTTAATTGAGGGTTAGTTTCTCTTTCAGGTCAGAAGATACGAACACCTTCGATCCTAAACTCAACGCAAAAAACTAAATAGAAGAAGCACACTTACGCTCTTTTTTAACAATTTTTGTGTGGATACCTGCACTCCTAACTTTGGTAAAGGGGCACTTTTGCTGGTTTGTTTGACGAGTGCACTGATCAATTCCGTCTGAAGCTCGGGCATATCCAGGCATTGCTGCAAGGCATTCTGTGCTAGAACCACGTGATAGTCAATACCTGCTTGATCCACGGCTGCCGATATGAAGAGCTGGAGACACTTGAAAAGCTTGATGGCTTCAGCCTGGAAAATTGTGAAAATATAAAATGTTGTCAGTACTAGCTGTAGAAGCGTCTAGGAACCACATAAGCTCTAAATGATTCATTCAGAATCAATTAACACAAAGTATTAGCTCATTTCACTATTCCATTAATTCCTCATAAGAAATATCGTTTGTTAAGTAGATATTGAATGAATGTGAGTTTTCAATTTTTACTTTTGTTAGAAATTGAGTTCAAAACATAATCAGATTTCATTCTGAAATAATACAAATGAAAATTGTATAAAATTTCGAAGTATAAACCATCAGATGCGATAACTCCCAAGCTTCTTGATTGCTGACTTTGAACTCAAAACTTCGACTTCAAAGAGATCAAACTCGAAATTTCAAGAATAAAGTCAGAAATTCGAGTCTTGAAGCTGTAATTTCCAAGAAAAAAATCATAAAAATATGTGGCCTTTTTTCACTTTCATTTTGAAAAGGTGATTTATATGTAGGTACTTATATGTTCAGTGATCCTCCTTCAATAATCAGAAATTTGATTGGTGCATTTTTCAAAATGACAATCCTAGTTTATTGTAGTTTTTTGTATGCATATGTCCTATGAAAAAAGTTCTGTTGCATTTATTGCCCATTGTTGTTATAGGTTACAATATATAATATTGTAATCCTACAATGCAGACAATATTTAGGCTTTGCCTATGAGTATAGCAAGTATAGCTATACTTATTCTATTTCAAATGAACTTTATTATTATTATTATTATTGTTACCATTATCATTATACAGAACGAATTCATGTGATCCGGTTATGATCCCTATCAGAAGTAGTAATATGAGTATAACTTTACCTGTAGGCAGTCAGTGGTTAGACTTGTGAGTGGAAAATACGATGGTACCGCACCATCTTTGGTACAAGGCACATGTAACAGTACAGGGTGTCTCCATAAGACACAATTTGGATCACCATCGACTTCCATGAGCTTGTGGATGAGTTGCTCGTATTGGGTACCGCTGCTTGGACCACCCCCACTGGCTACGGTCAGGTGGTATAACCAGGAATCTTTTTCCTGTTTTCCCGTGAAATGGAGATATGTTGGAGCCTGATTGCTCGGAAAAATCCCCACAGTGAATTTCGGTTGTTCCGTGTCATGTTCTTCGGAGTCGGAATCAGACAAGTGCTCTATTTCTTCCACTTTTGCATCTCTCATATTGATTTGACCATGTGGGGTCTGATCAGTGGATTTTTTGAAATACAAGAACATTTTTCCAATGAGAACACACCAGCATTCTCTTGGTATTCCATTTTTGACTTTCTTAAGAACGCCTTGGAGTATCGGTTTATTTTCATCTCTACTCAGTAGTAATTTTGTTGCATTTCTTCGTTGTACGTTTTGCAATATTCTAACCTGAAAATTGGAAAAATTATGAAGTTATCATAAATTTACAGGAATATTTTGCCATAATTTCGAATAAAAGTTGAATAACATTTGTTTTGAGTTTAAAGATAATTTTTAGAAGCACTCAAAATAAAAAGTTTAATTGATATAGTCAAAGTATAATTAAATAGACATGCAAAAACCCGAATTGCAATGAGTTATATAGTATATAGTTATCTTTGTCGAAAATTTTAATAAAAGAACCACTCAAGAGCCAAAGTGAAAGTGAATGACAATGAAGAAATACTAAAATATGCAAATAATCCATGGCTAGGTATTTTGTGCATCCACCACCGAAGTTATTGAAAAATACTAACTATTGATTGTTCGTTTCATGCCATTCTTTATTAACACAGTAGTTGATTGATAGTACAAGACTTATAAAAGACTTATTCCACCAAAAAGCTACAAAGTAGTTATAGCTGTAGTTGGCTAGAACAGTATAGTGAACATATACAAATACCTACTGTGTAAGGAGGTTCAAATAATGACTTTGGGCAGAGCTACAAAATTAACGGAATAATCCTACCGGTGTATAAACTAACAGATGTGTAGTTTCTGAAATTCCAATAAATGAAAAGAATTTCTGCAACATCGCAGTATCATTATATTTAAGTTGTTCAAAATGTTTTTTTCGTTAACCATCTATCGCACCCCTACGAACGACAACCCTCAGAAGTCGAAACTTGTGCGAGCTGAGGACAATGAGTTCTTACCTTTTAACGTATGATTCCTAGTATATGATTCATTTAGAATTGATTTCAAATCTTTATTAGTATTTCAAGTAGACCTCCAACCACTTCACAACAGAAAGGATGATTAATGAGATTTGAAGATATTTTTTAATACTATTAACGGAATTGTCCTTTGCCTCTCATTACCATCGAACTTTCAGCCTCACCAAAATCTACAGTACCTACATTCCTTTGTACCATAGCGCAGACAACAAAATATGCTTTTATTTCTTTACTTCTGCACCCGAGTTTCAAAAGTAGCTGAATTCTCGATGGAATATGTGGTTTTTTCAAACATATTTCTTTTAGAATATTTTCTCATTTTTATACGTACCTGTTTCTTCCCACTGTTGAACGATAACCCGTTATATTTTATTTTTCAATGCTTATTGTCTGCTATACTGACATTTATTTATTTGTATTCTTCGTAATTGAATCGAGTGTAATAGGTTTTGAACCCGCGAACAAATAAATTGGAAAAATAATATGTACACTGAAAACTTTGCAGCAAAGTTGATGAGGTTGATACAAAAACCTTCGAAGATGATTAAATCAAGATGTGTTGAAATGATATTTGTAAAAATAATCGTTTGAAACATTGCAACAATGAAACATTTTAATGCCGTCATACTGGAGTGCTGACTTGTGTATGGGAATACATAATTTATTGTTGAAATTATTCACCTTCAGTTTTTCTCTGCATTGTCTTTATATTACTTTTTCCACTGACGATTAACAAATCCAAAAGATTTTGTATAACTCAACCTCACATGTATGAAAATATATATTTTGTATTTGCATTTGCATTTGCATTATGAAACTAGGAATTCGTAGCAATTGATAATGAAATATACATGTTATTCATGTCTCAGTAAGTTGAAACCATATTGAAAACTTTTTCATTATTGATTTTAGGAAAACAGTTGTCATTTTTGAAAAATCTGCAAGGTATAACTTAAAATGCAACCTTCGATTATCAAATTCTTTCAGTCATATATGCAGTTTGTTAAAAAATATGAACTTTGCCCCAGAGTAAAGTACCCTTATTTTTGACAATATCAAAAAATGTTCTTGAAGAAAGTGGATCAAAATTGATAATCAGGTTGATTTATAATTGATTCATACAATAAAAAAAGTTTTGCTATTTTTTCGTCAATAATTCTAACAGTTAGGTACTCCATACATTATTTTTCATTTTATTAATTTTGATGATGAACATTTCTTTTTCAGGAATATTAGGAACATAACGTTTCCATTCCTTGATGTTCTCTAACTATTTTCTATATACAATAATTATAATTAAATTTTCGTTATTGTACAAAGATGTTTTGGAAAATACAAAAATATTGTGAATCAATACACATTTGTATGTAATTTTTAATTCTGATCAATAAATTTTAATAATAGTCTTCGATATTGTCCAAAATACAGATACTTTTACTTTACTCTCGAGCAAAATTCATAATTTTTGACCATATATATGATAAAAGAATTTGATAATCAATAGTTGCATTTTAAATTTCAGTCTTTGCAGAACTTTTCATAAAGAATTACTTCTTTCCTAAAATTGAGAATGAAAAAGTTCTCCATTAGTTTCCTACTTACTGAGACATACTGTAGGTATATCATGTACTGGCGATTAGGTTGACTAAATTTTTTAGTTTGTAATGCATCAACTCAGTTCTTATTTTCTTAGCATCAATCAATGTATTATTTTTCACATGACGAATCCAATATCCGTCATTGCTGTGTATTCAAGGAAGTAGTTGATATCTGACAGGTATTTACCAAATCCTATAGTATGGGATATCTTCGAATTTGATTTGAATTATTAGTTTCTGCTAATATATTTTGGTTTAAGATTGGTGTGTACAGATTATTTCAATTTATGAAAGAAAAAATATTCAAATATCATATGAAAGTAAATTATCTGAGCTGAACAATAAATTGATTGGAGGTATAGAGTTGATTTCGTATAATATCTTCCATTTTTCTGAATTTTATACAAATCTGGGAAAATATGTGATGGTCAATATTACTCACCCAGTCTTCCATTGCTGATATAGAATCGGCAGTCAAGTAGTAAGTCTTTTTTCCTGTGTCGATTTCGAAAGTGTTGGAGCCTTCTGCTCGGGTTATTTTACATATTTCATCTAAAACTATTTGACCTTGCGGTTTCCTATTGATATCGTTTTGAGTCTTATAATAAGTTAGGACGCCGTTCTTTAACACAAACCACTTCTTTCTCCAAGTCTTCAATTTACCCCCTAAAAAAAACATAAAATGTAATGGAGAAATGTTAAAATCAATTATTACATGTGCCTACCTAATTTTGCTAAAGACCCGCTCTTCTCTAAACTTTCTATTCGTTTTGGGCTGTCTAAATACGTCGAAGCCCTAAGAAGCATTGAAGATTCTAAGCTGGTGGTATCGCAACTGATAGCATCTGGAGGAACAGCATAGTCGTCAGACATTCCGGACTCAAAAGAGGTATCTGAAACACCTTTGAGTCAATTGTTAATGGATAGCATTCCAAAATGAAAGAGAACGGGAGAAAGAAAAATTGTATATAAAAAATACTGAAATTGACGCTTTCAAATCAGAAGTGGGATAAAAATACCAAAAATGTACCTCTAGTTTTACTTTTGCTTGGTGAACCACTACTGCTGGATGCTGTTCTTTTTCCAGGACTAGAACCAGAAGTTTCACCCGAACTCCTGCTATGAGTATTGTTACCATCCACAGGCTGAAAATATAAGACTGATAATAAGTAATACAACTTTATTGAACAAAATTCTGTCTAGGATGAAGTTTATGTAGACTTAGACTCACAAAATATTCGAATGAAAATGAAATATTTGTATTCTATTTTATTATAGAAGCTAATTTAAAGTGATTGCACTCAAATGGTAAATTTGTTATCAATAGAAATCCGAACTAGTAGTAATTTTTACTCTCATCAAGAAAATGAATTGAGGGTAACATTCAAAAGACTTCATATAGTCCAGTCTCATGTAACAGCCATATTAAAAAATGTTTGATATTTGGCTGGCTTTAGTTTTTCAAATCACTTGGACCCCCTTAATTTTCATGAATAGGAATTACTTATATTCCTACATGTCAGGAAACAAGCCTAAAATTAAAGACTCATCAATTGAATATGATGGGGGTTCTGAAGTATAAAGAGCCTCTGATTTCTAAACTTTGACAGCAAGTTCTTCAGGAATGTTTAGAAGTATATAGTTTTATTGATAATCACAATTATATTTTCAGGAGTTCTTGGAAATGAATAAAGCTCAAATGTAATTTTTCTATTTTAATATCGTAGTCAGGATGCTGGTTATCATCATTTACAATTATAAAATGGTTAAATGGTGAGTAATTTAAACTTTTGCTTTTTTAAATAATGTATCCTTGAGTTCATACTATGATTGTTCGCAGGGTTTATCCAATTGTCAGCCTCAACCCATTCATTCTGTGAATAATAGTCAAATAGAAGATCTGCGAATGTTTCAAGAATACAAATTTCTTGTCATCTGTGCATACATTGCGAACGATGAGACATCTTGAGAGCAGAATAAAATCTTCAAGATTTCTCCCGAATCAATATATTTTGGAAGTACACCAAAAATATTGAAGTAATAGTAATGGATATTGTCATTTTAGGCTTTTTCAAAGCCTACCGTGAGAACTCCATATGAGACCTTATCGAAGATACCCATTTATCTAATGGTAGATTTCAGATAATTCGGGAAAAACACAAATTCGTCTTTAAAAGTGTTGCAGTAGAATATCAATTTCTGTCGACTGAATGTGAACAATTTTCATTGATTTATGGTCTTATGAATCCGACTTTTCCAATTCTGGAATGTGCTACCTAGGTATATAAATAATTGTTATTGTTGATTAGGAGATATTTTTTCAAAGCATCCAAGAAGTTCCCATGTATGATTTGGTATAATTGCAAATATCTATTCACCATTGTGTTGTTTCCCTCTCCATCACTCGAGTCATCTGAAGAATCTCCAGTGAATGGCATAGAGCGAATTTGGCTAGCTCGACCTTTGACGTTGGTGTAAACTGGAACAGGAATGTCTTGGTAACCCGCTTGTTCTGGCCCCAGATCACTTGGTGTAGTACCTGTTAAGGTTAATCCGTCTGCTGCAACCTGAAAGAAAAAAAATAGTTACACAAATATCGGACAAATACAAGAAATATCATATGAATTCCGTAGATTGTGTATTTTAATCCGTTATTTTTCGTATTCCGTATGAAAGTGAATAGTAAAAGAATTGGATCTGAAATATATCCAGAATTCCATAAAAAATAAATAATTAAACAGATGAATCTATTGTAAGACCTTCTTCAGACTTTGATAAATTTCAAAACTCAAATATCTGAAACAAACAACCTGAACCTGCATCAGAATACAGAATGTTATGCCCAGAGCAAAATATTTTCATGATGATAAACAACATAAAACAAAGATAACAGATTTTTACAACCCGCTGGTACAACCTTCATCTAAAGTGATTAAAAACTGTGCCACCTCTCCAAAGCCTTTGACAGCGAATCTCATGAAGATTTGCTAGATAAACAGGCACAAGAAGCAAAGCACTAAACATCACGAAATCATACCTTGAGGTTAGAATAAGGGAATACGGGGTTTATAATGATTTAAAATCCTCTGTAAAAAAATTATTCATAGTGTTTCACTAGAATTAATATTTTTGGGATGTGGCAGATGTTTTTCTCTATGCAGATTGTAATTTAAAAGTAAAAATATCGAACAATTATAATACTCTAGAGTCAAATTTATCGACAATAAGCCCAACAGGAAGCAACATCAAATAGATATCTGTAGAAAACTATTCAACTAAGTAGATTGAGAAAACGAGTACCTATTGCAAAAAGTACTGATCACAATGTACTATGGTTTAATGCATTGTGACCTGGTCCTGTAGAAGGAAAAAGATCTGGATAGTTATGAAAGCGGTGAATTTCTGGAAACATACCCGCCATATTTCCTTTGAAATTAGAGTAGTAACACTAGTGTCTATCCATATAATTAAAACTATATTACATGACCATATATACATATTACCTACTGGTTGTCAAAGTCATGAACAAGAAACCAGAAGTAAAGATTTGTATATGTTAATGAAAGATCAAAACGACATCTTCCATTAAATGTACACAACAACCCACCTACAGAATGAAAATTCTACTAAAAGCTGAATGTTTGTTGATTACCCATGCATGACATTGATGATGTGTTTTAACATGATTGGTCATCAATTTCCAATTTCATGCATACTGTGTTTTATCTTGTGAATTGTTTAAAAGTATAGTAAATTTTATAATTGTACAGAGTGGGTCAAATTGTACACTTTTAAAGAGAAACCCCTGCGATCAAACTATATAGTTGAAAACTGGTGGCTGTGTCTGAGGGTCAAATTTTATGAAGAATGGTAAAAAATGCATATTGATATCTATCATCGTTTCTGAGTTACAACATGTTTTTCAAGAAAAGTTGCTGTAATTTTTTTCCCGTCAAAAATTTCTTGTTTCCATGAAAACATTTTTACGTAGAATTCAATGGCGCATAAAATTCATTTTTTCACCCTGTATATTACTACATATATTTCAATAGAAGCTCAAATCTACTTTAAAAAAATGTAGCACACTTGATGTTTTGCTAGAGTTATCTTCTGAATACAGAGCTTTTAGGTTTTTTCATGTAAACTTTGACTGGAAAGTTATAACCAGTGCGTGATGTTTCGTTAAATTGTATTCAAACAGACAAGGCTTATGTGAGAAATGTCGGTATTTTCTACAATTCTCATACTTGGACACAATAAAATCCTCATTCTATTGTGAAGCAGAGAAATCCGAGGAAGATTTGGATTTAGTGTGTGGGAAGGTATTTTTAGGGGTAGAATTATCGGCCCGTTCATTTTTAATGGCACTCTCAAACCTTGAGGCAAAATATTGAACCCCTCGTTGATGAATTGCCACTAATAGAGCTCAGAAAAATATATTTTCAACAAGACGGGGCTTCGCCTCGCAACACTAAATTTGTCACCAAATTTTTGGCTGCATATTCCGATCAAGGACACTGTTGGCCGGCCAGGTTACCGGACCCAACACCTATGGACAGGTTTTCACCATTAAGTTCATCATAAAATTTGACACTCAGACTTAGCCATCAGTTTTCTTCTATCCAGTTTGAAAAGAGGGGGTTCCCTTTAAAAGTCTTCAATTTGGCCCACTCTGTACATCTCAACAAGATTTACGTTAGTTACCTATGATATTATACATGAATGACTACATTGATTTATATTTTTGAATTGCCCAAACAGATTATGATACTTCTGCAAAAATTTGAGGGTAAAAAAAGCATACATCTACTGTCCACGACCCACAATAGTAGGCCTGTCGAGACCAGATAAAATTACCTTAAATAAATCTTTCAATTACCTGATATATTCTATCCTCCCAGCTGGGAAACCTATGCAAAGGAGGCGTCGGTGCTCTGGGCCAGGCCACTTTCTCTCTACTGGGCGTGTAGATCTCGGCATAATCATGAGCCAAATCAGGATCGCTAGCGCTGCTACTGGGAATTCTCCCGATGCTCAGATTATCCACGGCGGCCCTGAGCTCGTCCGTCAAAGGATCCATGCTGGACGTGCTGGTACCAAAGTTGACGCTAGTTACGAGCGTGCTGGGAATCACCGGCTCAAAATTAGTGTTGGTCGACAGACAGACGGACTGGTGCCTGCGGTGTTTCTGGCTGCGTGAGTAACTCGATTGTGGAAACTGGAATTACAAAAAAGGTTAGACATAATTCACGTACAAATAAAAACAAGTAATAGTTACTATATCTGTAGACAAATAGATAGAGAGGGATTCAGGATGGTAATATTAAAACATAGAAATCCAATAAACTGTTTCATTTTTTGATAGTGAATTCCTTGCATATGGATTTTTTTGGAGAAATTGAGTTAGTAATGCTGGGATCAAAGAGGTTGAAACATCCTCAGTTTAGTATGAACCGAGAACCGAGAACCGAAGAACCGAACAAGGTGGTGCACCGCAAAATTCAATTTTGATACAGTTACTTTTCATCATGCATGTTAATCCTTGTATGTTCTCATTTGGAGCTGAGTGACAAACTAAAGAGAGATTTGTGGGATGGTTTGTCGAAACAATCTGAAGTGAATACGTTCTTGGAAAATCTATTTAATTTTAAAATTCCATCTTGTTGGTATGAATTGTTTGTTGTCAAATAACATTTTCTTTAGCACCATTTGAGTAGGGTCTTTTCCGAACTTTCTTCAGACTATCTAGTAACCTTTAATATATTGTAGTTTTTCACAAAATTTGGTAATACATTCCAGAAAAACAACCTAGGGAACAACTGTATCATCCTTTTATTTCTTCACACATAAGCATTAGGGAGATTTCTGATTATCCCGGTCACTTGCACAATAAGTATTAGAGTATTATTGTTAATAGTAATTGGAGTTTAAATGCAAGGGAAGAAACTCCAAGAGTGTATATTTGATTTAAATGCTCTTATTACTCTGTGATTTCGTAGTCAGCCTTAAGAGACCAGAACAACTATGAAACATCGGAAAAAGTTTACATACGGAATCTAAACAAAACGATATTCAGAACACTTGATCATGAGGAAGAGTGTCACTATTCATTCACAGAATAATCCAATAAAAACAACAGTTCAACTATATTATCGAATCGAAAAGCAGTATTTTCCAAAAAATTATCAAATCAACTCTTGCTCCGATAATCACTATTTCAGTGGTTACCACAAACTGAAAGACAGGAGTCAATTAAGTTGTGTTTATCTTTCTTTTTCCAATAGCATTCAAGGTTCTAACAAAATACTGTTCCAATAAATTTGTCAGTACTCAGTTTGTATAGATATTTGTTCCAGAAGATTGAACGTTACGCCTTTTGTATTTTCAGAAATTTTGAAAACCATTCAAAAAGTTAGCATCCTGATTGTTACAGAAGTTATAATTATTTTCGAAGCAGTAAAATCTGACATGAATTTGATGGATTTGTTATAACACCTTAAATAGGATTCAATCCACTATCTTCCCGTAAGAGAACTTATAATGATAATAATCTTTATTCAATCCTTACAGATCACATACAACATGATATAGGATACGTCACAAATAAAAAAAAAAACGTGTGGTGATAGACAAATTTACAATCAACAATATTAAAATATCACAATTTAATAGATTTGTTCACATATACATGAAAACATGTAAAACATTTATATTCATACATATGAGCAAACACATTTTCATTTCGTATCAAGAAATTCTTTGATACCATAGTAACATTTGTCTTGCTCTCTCAGATTTGCGGGAAGATGATTGAAAAACTCTATACCTCTATATGAAGGGCTTTTTTCATAGAATGATGAGCTGTGTGCAGGAATTCTGATGAGGTCTCCGTTTCTAGTTGGGTAACCATGGCAATGACAAACTGTTTGATAAATCTCAACATGTTGCATAAATAGCATTATACATTGGAAAACATAAATACAAGGAACTGATAAAATTTTATATTTTTGAAAATATGGTCGACACGATTCATCTGGTTTTAGATTGAAAATGAGTCGAATAATTCTTTTTTAGGAAACAAATATTCTGTTTGAGTTCCTGGAGCATCCCCAGATGTTGCAGTAGATTAGAGCATAATATACATTGATGAGTTGATTGGTATTGAACATATTTTTTAATTGCAATATAGCATAGTAATCTGTGTTCACTTTTTTGCTTACGACATCAATATTATTTTACCAACTCATTCCACAAGCTATATACGTTCCAAGGAATTTCGTAACTTCAAAAAGATGAATAGTGCTATTTTTGACAACCACTTGAATATCAGTCACAGATCTCCACCTAGAATGGAAATGCATACAGACTGTTTTCTCTGCATTCACTATCAAAACATTTCTTTCACACCAATTCATGAATTTTTTTGCTAAATTATTTAGTTTTTTTTGTAAGTCTTCAGGACTATTTGCATCAATGGCCAATGTAGTATCATCTGCATAGAGAACTACTGAATTTGAACTGATATAGTCAGGTAGATCATTTATGAATTAAAAAAAAAGCGGCCCCAAGATTGATCCCTGAGGAACTCCCCGGTCCATCTCATAATATTCAGATGTATGCTCTCCGATTTTAACTGAAATTTTCCTGAAGCGCATGTATGATATCAGCCATGACAAGAAATTTCCACGAAAACCAAGGGAATATAATTTACTTTCGATTTTCTCCTGGTCAATAATGTCGAATGCCTTCGATAAGTCGAAGAAAAGTGCTCCCACACTTTTCATTTTATCTAGTGAATCGTATACATATATTTGAAAAAATTGTAAGAAGCACTTTCGGTCGACTTACCTTGACAGAAACCATGCTGATATTTTGACAGTATTCGGAATTTGGATAAAAATGAGTACATTTTATTATGAACATATCTTTCAAATACCTTCCCGATAATGGTGGGAATTGTTATGGGTCGAAAATTACACATATGATCCAATGAGAAATTCAATGATTCCCCTAATTTCCATCTCACCTGCCTGACTTGCCTTCCCTCGGGTGAACTGCTCTCCGATCTCCTCCTATCGGCCAGTGCCAGATGGTTCTTGAGTAGCTCGAGTTGTTGGTTGCATTTGATGTTCTGCTCCCTGAGCGTCTGGTTCTGTATCTCCAACTCTTTGAGCTTGTTAGTCACCCACTCCTTGATGCGGGCCGCTTTGGCTTCCACCTGCTTGGCGTCGTTCAACCGCAGCTGGCGCTGCTCCTCGACCTCTCCTTCCAATCGGTTGATGGCCGCGCTGTTGGTGTCACTCTGAACCGACCATGCCAGCTTCTGTTCCATTATTCGCACCTGAAAAAAAGATGAAATGAGTATGATCGAGAAATGGATTTCTATTGTAAGATTCACAAAAAGCTTTCCTAGCCGAAACACGTCTATTCAACATTTTCTCTTGTCTTATTTTTGATATTTGATATTTTTTCCTCCAAAGATTGGGTATCGTCAATAATTTAGTAGTAAGGAAGGTGGAAATAAGGCACTCGTAAGGCAGAGGTATTCAATGTTATTGAAGGAATCTCCATGTATCGACTAATCCCCCTATAGCTGAAGGCATAGAGTGATTTATGCGGTTTCAATATGGGGTTTTGTTGAATGGTTTTTAATTCAGCGTCAGAGTTGTGATCACCTCGGATTCCTTCAATTCCTGTTCCCCAATGGAAACGAACCATAAAGAAAAGGGGATCTACACACCTGATGACTTCACAAGCAACACCATTTTGTTATGTAGACACTCTCAACGCAGCAGCCTACACTTTCTCAGTTGTCTACAAAAATATAACCGTGGAACGGACGAATTGGAATGCAAACTTCTATGAAGATGCATTATATTTCGAGATTTGAATAATCTCTTCCCGAATCCACTCTACTACTCCATAAGATGAAGTTAGATCGGAATGTCGAGCATATATGTAGTAACAGCTTTGTTCTTTTCCGAGAGTTTCGATGACCAGATCTATCTAGATCTACTACTTTCCGCAGAGAGTTCTTCACAAGAGTTATTTCTTGTAAATGGCGTTGTTCCACTTCGAAGAAAGTATGTGTCTTTGGGGCATCCAGATGAGAATGTATGCTTCAGTTTTCGAACTTTTGGAAGTGCCTGCATTCTTTGGACGCTAGCCTGAATAGATGGAAGTGAGTCATCTAGAGTGGGAGATACTTCATAAGACTTTATTAGGTACTGCAAGGCATTTCAGCAAATGTTTCACGGTAATCGATCCGGACTTTAGATAGGTTACGCCAATATTGCATGGAGTCTTGAATAATAAATCTGTCGATGAACAGATTCTCATTGTATACAGTGCATATACGCATAAGCTAATATGAGTGAGGCCTGTGACAAAACGTATGCAAGGCGAACATATTTTTTCAACTTACCAAAATATTTTACTCAAGAAATCGATTATGTACTACTGAAATATATTACTTCTGATAATGCCAACTTGGACTTGGCTGATGAAACGCGCATACGAGTTTGGAGAGGAGAGTTTTGGTCGGATTCGGTTTTTATCTTTTCACGTAGGTCATGTAGGAAAATTGAGTGACATCATTCTAGTACTAAAATTTATAATCAACTTGAGAACCAAAGGTTACCAACAAGGACACTTGTCAGACTAATACAATTACCGACGGGCTGTTGCCGTCAACAATTATAAAAATAATGGCATATCACTGGCAGTTTTACTATAATTGCTATCAAGGAAGCTTTTGATCCCAGTATGAAATGATTATGCATATGCATATATTCCACAAATTGTTTCAGTATGAAATGAATATGAATATATTCATATTCATATGAATATATTCATATTCATTTCATACTGAAACAATTTGTGGACACCACACTCCAAAAAGGGGGACAAACCGCGGACACGTGTTTCTGGCTATTGGCCTCATCAGCGTGGTGCAGCCAAGTGTAAAGATGGGCAACACTTGTTTGCCGAAATCAGGAAACAACACAAATGCACGGAGTCAACAACAGGAGCCAACCGCACATTTGTGGTTCCAGTTAGAAGATCTAGAATTTCCAAGCTACATCTAACACGACCACGTAGGCAGCTATAGCTGCTACCTGCATGACATCCGGGTCCAGGATACAAATACAAATGAAGATTTTTTCGAGTGGGTATGATATAAATCAAAAATGAAACAATTTGTGGACACAACACTCCAAAAGGGAGGCAAACCACGGATACGTGTTTCTGGCTATTGGCCACATCAGCGCGGTGCAGCCAAGTGTAAAGATGGGCTGCATATATACATATTTTGATACCTTCGAAACCATGAACCCTTTTTTGAGTTTGAGGATAGTGGAAACCCTCGATGGGAATAAGAGAAACTTCGATAAATCTAAATTTGTCGAAATTAAATAGACCAAAAGCATATTGAATTTGATCCAAGCTTTTTCTGTAGATCTTCATCGTCAGTCACCAAACTGGTGTATGAAACATTTTTCTTGGAATCGCTTTCAGATATTCACTCAACAGAATCAATAAATACTAGAACTGGAAGAGGTTTATCCCATACTCCATAAAACTATCGTCGCTACAAATCTCGAACGATCATCATTATTTGTCACCCTCCCCATGAACGAGCTATGGCACTCAAGAAATTAGAAATAACATTTCTATTTTTATCGTGGCGATCGTATGCCGTCGAGGATCTACAAACAAAAACATGACAGTCCTCCCAAAAGCACTTAACGACCGTACAAATACTATTTCTGGGATGGAAGGAAGCAATAATTCGAATATTTTTTATTGTTTTTTGAAACGTGTTAGCAGACACGTTGAAAAGAAAGTAAAAGTGTCTAGCGTCTGGAGACGAGAGAGCTATCGTGAATTTGATTGAATCGAATACAAGCATAAAATAAATATGAAAAAATGAAAATCAGCCACTACATCATGAACATAACGCCTCGAGACTAGTGTTGCAGTTCTGATGTGTGAGAATAATGTTTGATACGGATTGCAGCGGAAGAGAGAAAGGTAGAACCATGAGCCCATCCAAATCGACCACAGTATCCTTCATCAATAGAACCAAGATGGGAATATCGGGAGAGATCAAATACCTGAGAGAGATACTGGTACTAGAATATCTTCCATAAATGTATGTCGGATATAATTCAAAGTTCAGCGTGGTATAAGCCGGGAAAGTAGTTATTTTTTCAGCAGGCATTCACCAGAGTCTACTATGTAGGTACTTTGCGAAAGATGAATTTTTCGAGATTCCATTTCGAAATATAGATTTTCTTATATGTAAGTATCTGTCTTGATACAGAGTATTCAAACTTATTTTGATTTCTGTCAGAGTATTGCAGTCGAGCCGAGTTGAGATTAATCGGGTCCCAAACACACTGCTATTTGGATCGGATCTTTTCTGCACTGACGCGAGGTAATACCTCGAAACCAGTCTGTAGGTGATCTACTCGATTGATTTTAGCATGGTCCTGCGGCTATTTGGTTCTGCAAGATACCTAACCTTAGTTAGGTATCTTGCATAAATGTATATCGGATATATTATTAAATGTCCAGCGTGGTATTAGCCGGGGAAGTAGTTGTTTTCCAGCAGGCATTTACCAGAACCCACTGTGTAGGTACTGTGAGAGAGTTGGATGTTTCCAGATTCCATTTCGAAATAGTTATTTTCTTATATTTTGGATAATTCAAACACAAGTATCTTCGTTATAAAAAGAAAAAATAATATTTTCATTCTGGACTTACTTTATTCACTTCACTCACAAGTAGGTACGAAGACCTGTATAGAATAGGTCAGATACAATACATTACTTACTAGTATTACTACTAGTACTACTTACTTCTTTTTATCGTTTTTAGTATTGTGAATTTCAAAAGTTGTACAAAAGATGTCGATGAAGGCATTGGTTTTTCAAAAAAAACATCGTTTCACTTTATAAAACGAAAGAAATTTGATTTGACCCCCTGTATTTCGAACGATTGCCTTATATTATTATTTATATTGTATAACGTGATGTATTATTATTTTATAATTAAAACGTCTGGTCAGTATCCAGGAAATAACATTCTTCCACATACTTGTACTAAATATCACCCTCACCTAGAATTTCCATTTTCTCTGCTTGCCACACAGGTCACGTATCAGATGCAAAAAAACACGGTAACCGCACCACGAAAAATCTATTCAAATCCGAATTATCACTTGCGGAGGAACGTGCCACGCGTTTCGGCACGTCTTCAGATTCACAACTCGACAATAACTACCGGTAGCAGCAGCTGAAACCGCCAGACACGACGGGTTTAATCTTCTACAAAAGCGACGCCCGGTCGTCCCGACGTTAGCCTTGCCGCCGTCAGAAAACTTCCCCAACTAGCAGAGGGTCATCGCCACACGCCGATTTCTGTTCACTGTTCGAACGGTTCGGCCCCTTTCGAATGAGTGAAATATTAGGCAGGGGCGTAATTCGAAAACTTCGCTTTTCCACGACCTCACACGAAAAACATCTTGTGTAGGATAATATATTCACAACAAAAACGCCGATTTCACTTATAGTGACAAAAAAATCATATAGTGTAAGCTTCCGTCTGTAACGAAAAAAGTGAGTGAATTCATTTGACTCTCCAACGCAACACTTGAGGGTTTATTTATTGTAAGTCACACCTATTGAAACTAGACCAAATGCGTTCAGATTCTTAACGAAGCCAATTACCTTATCTGGTGTGATCTTTCAGTTAGGATGGCGAGAGTGAGACTCCGCCAAACTGTTAAATGACTGCGGTGACCTTCCGATATGAAGGTCAGATATAACTGACAGTACATTTATAATTCATACTTCGAGATATGATTTTCTTTTTTGCAGTCAATACAAATACCACTGGTCTGCCGCAGTTGGAGACGAAATGTTCAGTACTTTGTACTTCATTCGACCACGCAGAAAAAGAGCCGCATGATGCTTTCAATGAATTTTATAATCATTTACTCACATTGGTTAAAGAAGCATGTCCCAGAAACATACTGAAAAATCGTGTTTTAGATTTGTTTTGTGATATTGAACCTCATTCACCACAAAAACTTCTTATTGAAGGTCTTTATTTTCAGATTTTTTAAAAATTTTTGTGCATATACACTAATGTAAATAGTATTAGTTGTTATTGATGACTATTACATTCTTCATATTAGTAATTTTCAAACTTTTTTAATTTTGTTGAATTGCATTTTTGGCCTGAGCTCCGCGACTGTATGTATTGTGAGCTTCATTAAAGTCTTTTTCAATTTCTCTATATTATATTCAAAAAAACTGAAAAGCCCTCGA